CAACACCGAGGAACATGTAATAGGGTGTATGTGCGACTCGTTTAGATCATATACTCAAATTAAAAAATTGATTCTATTAATAAGAATTGTATATATATAATTCTATTGTGTATAAATTTTGTATCAAATTTATGGTTTCTCAATTGGTGCAAACCAAATCACCTTCATTTTCAATTTAAGATGCAAAGTATATTCCCCTTGGGGATAAAGTAGTTTCCCATTAAGCGAGAAAAATCCTATTTGAAAGAAAAACAAATCATGCCCTAAATTTAGAACGGACTAAGAGGGTCAACTACCCAGCTAATCTTCATACTTAAATACCGTTACTGTATAGCTAGATTTCATTGTGAAAGAACTATTACTAGATATTTCATGGGTAGAGCCCAGAAGTGTGAACTGTACAAATTCACAATAACATTGATTAAATCAAGATTCAATGAAGGAAGGGGCTCCGGTGTATAGAGAGGACCTCACCGTTTAACAAGTAATCATAGAAACGATGGAACCCACCATTTCTTTGTTTATTTTATTTACTATGGTTTTTGGCATACCTAGTATCAATAGAAGTTATTATTTAGAGTTTCAATACTTATACTTAGAAAAAATGAAAAAAAATCGTGGTTGGGAAGGTTATAGTAGCAAAAGCCATTGGAATTTTTATTTTATATATTGGAAGAATCCATGTTGTTAGTAATATACTAGAAAGGATAAAAGAATAACTGAAAGAAAAAATCAAAATAGTTATTCATCGAAGTCTCATTTATCCAATGATCAGAACTAAACGAGGATCCATCGCTCGAAAATGGAGGACAAAAAGTCGTTCCTTTACATCAAGCTTTCGCGAAGCTCTTACTCGAACTATTTCGCAACAGAGAAGAAAAGCTTTGGTTTCGTCTTAGCGGGATAGAGATAGGAAAAAAAGGGACTTTCGAAGTTTGTGGATCAGTCGAATAAATGCAATAATTCGACAGAATAAAGAAAAAATATACTATAGTAATTTAATGTATAATCTGTACAAGAATCAATTGCTTCTTAATCGTAAAATCGTTGCACAAATAGCTATATTAAAGGGGAATTGTCTTTTTACGATTGCCAACAATATCATTAATAAAACTTCCCCGGAGAGTGAACTCCGGGAAGGTGGTAGAATAAAAGAGATTTGTATGATAAAATAGAATTCATATGAATTATGAAAATAATAAACCACGCTAAAAAAAAAAACCAATCCGCATAAACTTTGAGTTTAGATTCAATTAATGAAGTAAAGTAACTCTATTTTTTTAGAACAAGAGTTCTAGTAATCGATTTGCTTTTTTCATATATATATATATATATATATATATATATATATATATATATATATATATATATATTTTTCATATTTTTTTTTTGCAATTTTAAGAAGAGGTGACGAAAAAGGTAACAAAGATAAAATACGAGCTTCTTTTATAGCAATCGTAATCCATCGTTGTTGTTTTAAGGTCAATTTATTAACACGTCTAGATAAAATTTTGCCTTCTCGAGTGACAAGTTTGAAAAGTAAACTCAAGTTTTTATAATCAATTCGATCCCCAAATTGGATTAGGGGCGACCTCCTACGAATTGATTTCTTCTTCTTGGATTTAACAAACAGTAGCTTATATGATTTAACAAACAGTCGCTTAGTTAGATGATTTAACAAACAGTCGCTTAGATTTATCCATGGTTTGTTTATTCCTATACTGAAAATCTCGTTTGTTATAAAAAAGGATTTGTTTTAGTTATATATATTCTTATTTTTTTTTAATAAATTTTATTTTTTATATAAGGAAATAGGTCCTATATAATGATATATGTATATAATTTCATGTTATAGAATTTTATTTATAGAATATAGAGAAGATAATTTCTCTGATATCTATATAATTCATTTTTATGTTATTTAATTTTTTCAATTTACCTCCTAAGGGTAATACACAAGTAATCCATTTTCTCTATTTCTTGATCTCTGCGTGAATCATATGTTTGCAACAAAAGGGACAAAATTTTCTCAATTCCAATCGACTAGGCGTATTGTGTCGATTCTTTTGAGTAATATATCGAGAAATACCTCTTGATTCCTTATTAACACTCTTTTTATCGCAACTAGTACATTCTAAAATAACAGTTATTCGGATATCTTTACCCTTAGCCATGAGCCTCCTTTGGTTTTTTTTATTCACTTAACTCTTCGATTTTAAGATTCGAAGGGAAGAAGAAAAAAGGAACTAAAAAAATATAAGTTGATAAGTCAAAATAAAATTCTAAAATATTTTGTTCCAATTCATTTTATATAGTACAATAATAATTCACTACTACAATGCTTTCGAAATATATTTCGAATTACAGTATAGTATTTCTGTTTTTATTTAAATATCTTTTATGATATTATTGCCCCTACCCTAATAATTCCATTTCTGGTCTGACTATTAAGAATTCTAATAGTTATTAATAGCAATGGAATTGAAGTATTAATTCAATTCCATTTAAAAGAAACCTGGGCAAAATTCAAAATTTCACGGAGGCCCAATCCACCTTTTTGAATTTCCTTAATTTATTATTCTAGTATAATTAATTAGAAAAAAGCAACGAAGAGGGATTGAATCACAAATATTTTATTGGATCCCTAATCTTCGTCACCCTTTCCCGTGCCAATAACTAGAATAAAAAAAAGGGGAATGTCAATGCATCTGGGAATAAACGATTGATTTCGATCAAGAGACCCCCTAGAGCCGCGAACCATAAGTACTTGCCACTGGTGCCACAGAGAGATATGTTTTTAGATCTCGCATTTCCAATCCTCCTTCGTTTTTTCTTGTAATTTTGAATACCTAATAATACAGAATATAGGAATATGATTCCATGTTTTTTTATTAATAAAACCACTTGGATTTGTCGGGGGAAGTCTGAATCCAAATTGAATTGTACAACAATTCATTAGATATTTTTTTATAGAGTACTTTTTTTAAAAGAATTAGAATAATAGACTATTATTCTAAATTCTATTATATATATATATATATATATATATATATATATATATATATATATATATATATATATATATATATATATATATATATATATATATATATATATTATTCTTATTTGTATATTCTTTGTTCTTGTTATTATACTCTTTGTATCTTATTATTTATATATCCTATCTATTCCCGGTTTTAAATTATTTATATTAATTGTATATTCTTTGTTCTTGTTATTATACTCTTTGTATCTTATTATTTATATATCCTATCTATTCCCGGTTTTAAATTATTTATATTAATTGAATATAACTATTCTATCAGAATATTTGTTCTTTATATGATCAATCTAAGAAAGTAAAAAAAAAATAACAAAAAAAATGGCAGGATATATTCCATATATAATGGAAGAATGTGGAAAACAAGACAAATTATTTTTAGAATGACACTGGAAAACTTATGTCAAGGGATGTAGCGCATCTTGGTAGCGCGTTTGTTTTGGGTACAAAATGTCACAGGTTCAAATCCTGTCATCCCTATTCCTAACGATTAGTTATCGTATGAGCAGTAACAAGAGATCAATTTTGAGCGATTCAAATTGGACATAGATACTCAAGTTATATGAATAGTTCTCCATATTGAGTTTGTATGCATGCAATATGTATTGCCATTTCATAAAATTCTTTAGGAAAAGAAAGAGCTCTTAGTTCAGTTCGTAGAACGCGGGTCTCCAAAACCCGATGTCGTAGGTTCAAATCCTACAGAGTGTGATACCATTCTTCTGAGATGGAGAATGAGACTAAAATAATGGGATAACAGTCTAGTCTAATAAAAAAAGTGTTAATTGGATCTCCTGTCAATTAGGATTAAAAAAATAGGAGGTCAATAAACAAAAGAGATAGTACTAAATCAAATATCCAACTAATCGCCACGTCGGTATTGTAAATAGGCCGTTAAAAATAATCCAGCCAAAGTAATAGGAATTAGACCTAACACGATTCCAAATAGAAAAACTTCAATCATTTGAGTTTGGTTGAAAGTAAAATAAGGTGGGGATAATATCGATCCTTAAATATGAATTTATATTGACCATGAATCTCAATGACCAAGAATTGGAAATATGATAAGAAACTATCAATATCCAAAGTATTCTACAATTTCTAATTCATCTCTAAATTGCAAATCAAATAAGTCGTATCTTACTCAGACTGATAAAAATACCTGCGATTATAGTTAAAACTGCTAGAATAAAACCGAAATAACTGGTTATAGTGGGCATAAGGAAACTAGATGAAATATATTCTTTTTATACATATGTTTATAAAGCACTTTCCTAAGTTTCCATTTTTTTGAGATCCAAATAGGTAAGCAAAAAATACCAATTGAAAGATACAATTGAAAATAATGGATTCATGAATCCATTATTACGGATGAACAAAAAGAAAAATATAGTTACATAGGTAAGAAATCAATTCATCATCTGTGACATCTACCCAGCCTATGATTCCAAATCAACCGATTTATTGATCAACTCATGACATGAGTTGAGTAAACGAAAATATTTCCATTTTTTCATTTTTTTTATATTTTTTATATATAAAGCTCTATCTTTGTAATGAAACCAAGAAAGACCCATACGTAGAGTTTTTGTGTCTAATATAAGAACAACGAATGCTCATTTTGAAGAAAAAAAGGATTCGTTGTTCTTGTATTAGTATCCATTGTCTGCATTCACTGATATAAACACGCATATCAAAAAAAGTAAACCCCCACCACCATTGCGTATTGTTACTTATCGGATATAGAATAAATCTGCTTCTTTTTGTTCCTACGAATAGAATGTTCCTTTGTTTCTAAAAAACTCGAACAAATATAAATTCTTTAATGTGAGATAATTTACTAATACTAATTAAGGGGAGGGTCTATAGTAAGCATAGTTTTTTACAGTGCAATAAAGTTACATAGTGTCTATTTTTTGTTAATATAAGAGGTATTTTCATGGGTTTGCCTTGGTATCGTGTTCATACCGTTGTATTAAATTATCCCGACCGTTTACTTTCTGTCCATATAATGCATACAGCTCTGGTTGCTGGTTGGGCCGGTTCGATGGCTTTATATGAATTAGCAGTTTTTGATCCCTCTGACCCTGTTCTTGACCCAATGTGGAGACAGGGTATGCTCATTATACCCTTCATGACTCGTTTAGGAATAACCAATTCGTGGGGTGGTTGGAATATTACAGGAGGCACTATAACAAATTCGGGTATTTGGAGTTACGAAGGTGTGGCCGCGACACATATTGTGTTTTCTGGCTTGTGCTTTTTGGCGGCTATTTGGCATTGGGTCTATTGGGATCTAGAAATCTTTTGTGATAAACGTACTGGAAAACCTTCTTTGGATTTGCCAAAAATATTTGGAATTCATTTATTTCTTGCAGGGGTGACGTGTTTTGGTTTTGGCGCCTTTCATGTAACATGATTGTTTGGTCCTGGAATATGGGTATCTGATCCTTATGGACTAACAGGAAGGGTACAATTTGTAAATCTCACATGGGGTGTGGACGGTTTTGTTTTATAGTTGGCATGGTGAATCATATACATAATGAGCTGGTTTCGATTAATCCTAACCCAATAATTTCCATTTAGAATTTATTCGACTCTATGAAATCTGGTTGTTAAGACGATTAAAAAGAGAAAAGACAACATCTCATGCATGTATTTATTAGGAATAAATCTATGTTTATTAGGGACAAAGGTTTAGGAATAAATCCACTATTCCCAGAAGAAAAAAAATAGTGGGGACAGAAATAGTTTGAAAGCAAATTCTGTGTTTATTAGGAATAAAAAGGACAGAAATAGTCCAAACATCAATATTGATTCCAACTATCAATATTGACATATGCAAATTTTGCATTAAAAAAAAAGAATCCGCTCCGGAATCAAAAATTTCTTCCGTAGGCAAAGAATCAGATACAGAATCAATAATTCCGTAGGCTTGGGCTTCTTCGGGTGACATAAAATGATCCCTTTCCAGGTCTTTAGATATCTGCCATACCGGTTTGCGTGTTCTTTGCGAATAAATAGCTGTTATTGTTTCTCGAAGTATCACCATTTCATCTGCTTCCAGCATACATTCTCTTGATGGTCCCTCATAAGGGGCACTATGAGGTTGATGGATCATTACCCTGATAGTATAATATAATTTGGTTTTTTCTCTCAATCTTGACTTAAAAAAAATAAGAAAGAAGGGATATTCAAAAGAACTTCAGTTTAAATTGAAAGCCGTACATGCAAGCATCTTTTGGATTTTTTATATAGCATACGGCTCTATACTTTTAATTTTTCATTTTTTTTACCTTTCATTGATGAAATAAATATATATATATATATATATATATATATATATATATATATATATATATATATATATATATATATATATATATATATATATATATATATATATATATATATATATATATATATATATATATATATATATATATATATATATATATATATATATATATATATATATATATATATATATATATATATATATATATATATATATATATATATATATACCGGGTCTATCAGACCCAGATCAGTAAAGAATCCAATAACCATCTTTCTTTCTTTTTAGAATATTTTAAAAAATTTAAAGACTATGATGATTTCGTTGCTCTCTTAATTTCGTGTAGTTTTTGATTCAGCAATCCCAAAGTTTCTTTTTTTTCTTCAAATGAAGTAAAAAAAACCTTGACACTAAAAGAGGCTCTAATTAATAGATAAGAGGAAATATAAAATTGTAAATACCCCTTCCCTTTTTTCCTACTACTCTTTCGATATAGAATCGAATGGTTTAAAAAAAAAATTATTTTTGCATATCGAACTCAGAGTGCCATGCTTTTTTTACTTCATATTGGCGTAGGCATTGTCTTCTTCTACAAGTAAGAATCATTGGCGCCAAGCGTGAGGAAATGCTAGACGTTAAGTAATTCCGCCTCCTGCCAAAATAAGAGATGCCATTGAAGCGGCTAATCCCATGCATATTGTATGTACTTGTGCTTCTACAACTTGCATAGTATCAAAAATGGCCATTCCAGACATAACCTCTCCGCCGGGAAACTAGATGAAATATATTCTTTTTATACATATGTTTATAAAGCACTTTCCTAAGTTTCCATTTTTTTGAGATCCAAATAGTTAAGCAAAAAATACCAATTGAAAGATACAATTGAAAATAATGGATTCATGAATCCATTATTACGGATGAACAAAAAGAAAAATATAGTTACATAGGTAAGAAATCAATTCATCATCTGTGACATCTACCCAGCCTATGATTCCAAATCAACCGATTTATTGATCAACTCATGACATGAGTTGAGTAAACGAAAATATTTCCATTTTTTCATTTTTTTTATATTTTTTATATATAAAGCTCTATCTTTGTAATGAAACCAAGAAAGACCCATACGTAGAGTTTTTGTGTCTAATATAAGAACAACGAATGCTCATTTTGAAGAAAAAAAGGATTCGTTGTTCTTGTATTAGTATCCATTGTCTGCATTCACTGATATAAACACGCATATCAAAAAAAGTAAACCCCCACCACCATTGCGTATTGTTACTTATCGGATATAGAATAAATCTGCTTCTTTTTGTTCCTACGAATAGAATGTTCCTTTGTTTCTAAAAAACTCGAACAAATATAAATTCTTTAATGTGAGATAATTTACTAATACTAATTAAGGGGAGGGTCTATAGTAAGCATAGTTTTTTACAGTGCAATAAAGTTACATAGTGTCTATTTTTTGTTAATATAAGAGGTATTTTCATGGGTTTGCCTTGGTATCGTGTTCATACCGTTGTATTAAATTATCCCGACCGTTTACTTTCTGTCCATATAATGCATACAGCTCTGGTTGCTGGTTGGGCCGGTTCGATGGCTTTATATGAATTAGCAGTTTTTGATCCCTCTGACCCTGTTCTTGACCCAATGTGGAGACAGGGTATGCTCATTATACCCTTCATGACTCGTTTAGGAATAACCAATTCGTGGGGTGGTTGGAATATTACAGGAGGCACTATAACAAATTCGGGTATTTGGAGTTACGAAGGTGTGGCCGCGACACATATTGTGTTTTCTGGCTTGTGCTTTTTGGCGGCTATTTGGCATTGGGTCTATTGGGATCTAGAAATCTTTTGTGATAAACGTACTGGAAAACCTTCTTTGGATTTGCCAAAAATATTTGGAATTCATTTATTTCTTGCAGGGGTGACGTGTTTTGGTTTTGGCGCCTTTCATGTAACATGATTGTTTGGTCCTGGAATATGGGTATCTGATCCTTATGGACTAACAGGAAGGGTACAATTTGTAAATCTCACATGGGGTGTGGACGGTTTTGTTTTATAGTTGGCATGGTGAATCATATACATAATGAGCTGGTTTCGATCAATCCTAACCCAATAATTTCCATTTAGAATTTATTCGACTCTATGAAATCTGGTTGTTAAGACGATTAAAAAGAGAAAAGACAACATCTCATGCATGTATTTATTAGGAATAAATCTATGTTTATTAGGGACAAAGGTTTAGGAATAAATCCACTATTCCCAGAAGAAAAAAAATAGTGGGGACAGAAATAGTTTGAAAGCAAATTCTGTGTTTATTAGGAATAAAAAGGACAGAAATAGTCCAAACATCAATATTGATTCCAACTATCAATATTGACATATGCAAATTTTGCATTAAAAAAAAAGAATCCGCTCCGGAATCAAAAATTTCTTCCGTAGGCAAAGAATCAGATACAGAATCAATAATTCCGTAGGCTTGGGCTTCTTCGGGTGACATAAAATGATCCCTTTCCAGGTCTTTAGATATCTGCCATACCGGTTTGCGTGTTCTTTGCGAATAAATAGCTGTTATTGTTTCTCGAAGTATCACCATTTCATCTGCTTCCAGCATACATTCTCTTGATGGTCCCTCATAAGGGGCACTATGAGGTTGATGGATCATTACCCTGATAGTATAATATAATTTGGTTTTTTCTCTCAATCTTGACTTAAAAAAAATAAGAAAGAAGGGATATTCAAAAGAACTTCAGTTTAAATTGAAAGCCGTACATGCAAGCATCTTTTGGATTTTTTATATAGCATACGGCTTTATACTTTTAATTTTTCATTTTTTTTTACCTTTCATTGATGAAATAAATATATATATATATATATATATATATATATATATATATATATATATATATATATATATATATATATATATATATATATATATATATATATATATATATATATATATATATATATATATATATATATATATATATATATATATATATATATATATATATATATATATATATATATATATATATATATATATATATATATATATATATATATATATATATATATATATATACCGGGTCTATCAGACCCAGATCAGTAAAGAATCCAATAACCATCTTTCTTTCTTTTTAGAATATTTTAAAAAATTTAAAGACTATGATGATTTCGTTGCTCTCTTAATTTCGTGTAGTTTTTGATTCAGCAATCCCAAAGTTTCTTTTTTTTCTTCAAATGAAGTAAAAAAAACCTTGACACTAAAAGAGGCTCTAATTAATAGATAAGAGGAAATATAAAATTGTAAATACCCCTTCCCTTTTTTCCTACTACTCTTTCGATATAGAATCGAATGGTTTAAAAAAAAAATTATTTTTGCATATCGAACTCAGAGTGCCATGCTTTTTTTACTTCATATTGGCGTAGGCATGGTCTTCTTCTACAAGTAAGAATCATTGGCGCCAAGCGTGAGGAAATGCTAGACGTTAAGTAATTCCGCCTCCTGCCAAAATAAGAGATGCCATTGAAGCGGCTAATCCCATGCATATTGTATGTACTTGTGCTTCTACAACTTGCATAGTATCAAAAATGGCCATTCCAGACATAACCTCTCCGCCGGGAGAATTTATAAACAGATACAAATCTTTGTTCTTGTTCTCTAAACTGAGATATATCATCACACCAGCAACTTGATTTGCTAGTTCACTCTCAATCTCGTCACCTAAAAAAGGAAGTCTGCTGTAAAAAAGTTGATGGTATAAGTCAACCCAAGTAGCTTCATCCTCGCCAGGAATTTGAAAGGCTACCTTTGGAACACCCACTGGTATAAAAAAATGATGCAGTTGCCTGACATCAGCATATTACTTTAATATAAAATTGTGCAGAGTACAGAATGAGTTTATTTTGTTAAAAATAATTTTTATTTTTCCAGATAACATAAAAAAAAACAAGCCTAAAATAAGGGCAAGTTTTTATGAATAGGTCATTCTTGGATATGTCTCTACTGATATTGATATTATTGTTACGTGTTATTGGATGACTAATGAATTGAACTCTGGAAAATGAAATTCAAGAAGGGATTCTAACAAAAAGGATCTTCAACAATCCCCA